GGTTTCAAAGGTATCGTTCCTGCCCTGTTCCCTGATGATGAGAAGGAATCCATCGTTAACCAGCTTCGTGAAGAAGCTTCAAAGAATGGAGCTGGTCCTTCTAAAGACAGTGTGTGGCAACACTATGTTAACAAAAGTGCCAACAATCTGCACATTGTTTTAGGCATGTCTCCAGTGGGAGAGACTCTGAGGACACGCTGCAGGAACTTCCCAGGTAAAATACACAATCAGCTCACAGAGTAGAGAAATTGTCAGCGCTGTTACCTCACAGCAAGACAGATTTTGCATCTCAGCATACAGACAAACTTGTCTATGTGTTCTTCCCATATGTGCACAAGTACATTTTGTTATATTGGTTACTAACCCAACCTTTGGAATCTTGAAACTTTCAAGAATAAATAAATGAGCTGCATTAGTGTTGAAGTGTTTGTGTCCTATTGTTCCCAGGACTGATGAACAACACAGTGATAGACTGGTTCCTTTCTTGGCCTCCACAGGCTTTATTTGCAGTGGCCCAGTCTTTCCTGGGTGATTATTATAATGTGACATTTTTTGTGAAATTATTTTTTTATACTTAATTAGCTGCAACACTAAAATGTTCTCACTCTCAGGTGAAAGTCCCATGATTCCTGAGGCCCACTCTGCAGATGTGATAGCTCATGTATGCATGGTCCACATCTCTGTGGGTGACTACAGCAAACTGTTCCAACAAAAACTCAGACGCAGTAACTATGTCACTCCAAAGAACTACTTGGATTTCATCAGTACGTACTCTAAACTCTTGAAGGAGAAGGACCAGCACATCCTGGGTGAGAAGATGCAGCCTGTCTTTGAATTTCTGTGATGATACGAAGGACTGTGTTATGTTAACTGGCTCAGTCATGTTGCAGCTCAGTGCAAGCATTTAGAGGGAGGTTTGGACAAACTGAAGGAGGCCAGTGAGCAGTTGTCTGAGCTGAATGTGAAGTTGGCAGAACAGAAGGTGGTTCTTGCTGAAAAGTCTGCAGCCTGTGAAGCTCTGCTGGACGAGATAGCTGCCAACACTACCGTGGGTCAGTGGCTGCATTTTTTAAATCTACTGAGCAAAATTACAAACACAAAAGTAAACACAGCTTTAACCTGTCAGTCACCTGCCCGTCAATCACTTTCTGTTACAGCCGAGGAGAAGAAGACACTGGCAGAAGACAAGGCTACGGAGATTGAGGAGCAAAATAAAGTGATTGCTGTGGAGAAATGTGAAGCAGAAAGTTCCCTGGCTGAGGCTCTGCCTGCATTAGAGGCTGCTCGCAACGCTCTACAAGACCTAGAAAAATCAGATGTCACTGAGATCAGGTACATGGTCAACCTAACAGAGTGGGTTTTAATTCTGCAGCTGGAAAAAAAATGAATGAAACATTTCATTGAGAGAAATAAATCATCTGTATTGTGTTATGGAGACAGATTGTTATTTCTAGCAAATGTAATATTTTGTTTCCTCTGGTTAAAAACCTATACATTTTATTACATATTAATTTTTCACTGTTTTCACTTGCCCACCTCACCTGAGCAACAGGCTCTAAGAAGGTCTTTGAAGTAAAATTGTTTTTAACATTTTAATATCAATAATTCCATCATTTGGATTAGTCACATAAAAACTGGTCTGAAATACATACATAATTTGTCTTTATGTTCCAATAATCAACAGGAAAAAATGTAGAAATGTAGTCAAATGTAGAAATTTTTATTTCTATTTTATTTTTATTTTTCTTGATTATGATTCATCCACATATATGTATAAATATACCTATAAGTATATATATATATATCTATACAGTTATACACAAAGCTTTTTATAAGCTATATATGCTTATATATACAACCCAAATATGATTAATTGAAATATGTATTGATATATATATATATATGTTCAATATGTTCATGCTCCTGATCCTTTTTTGTATTTATTTTAATTCTTTCTTTAAGGTGTTGGTTATGTGAAAGCAAAATATCTACAAATATTCTAAAATACTATAAAACCTGATTTATTTGCTTTTCCTCCACGATTCCTAAACAGGTCCTTTGCCAAACCTCCGAAACAAGTGCAGGTGGTTTGTGAGTGTATCCTGGTGCTGCGTGGACACAGGGAGATCAGCTGGCAGTCTGCCAAAGGTATGATGTCAGAGGCGAACTTCCTGCGCTCACTGATGGAGATGGACTGTGATGGCATAAGTAACAACCAGGTCAGAACTGTCAAAGGTGAGTCAGTGCTGTGATAGTAGAAAAAACACTTTGTATACAGTACTGTATGTAGTAGAGACAAATATGTTGGTTTTCTTGGCTGTTTATCTTGAATAGGTTTCCTGAAGAGCCTCCAGACGAGCCTGGAAGAGATGCAGGCCATCAGTAAGGCTGGATCAGGAATGCTCAAGTTTGTTGAGGCTATTATTGGTTACTGTGATGTTGCCAAGGAGATAAAACCCAAAAGGGACAAGGTAATGTAAGATCAAAGATGTATACCAAATTATAATGACACAAACGGAAGATTGAAGAGTCACACTTATTATATCTTGTATGTCTAGGTGGCACGATTGGAGAAAAACTTCTTTCAGAGTAAGAAGGAGCTGGAGCTCATCCAGGGAGAACTTAGTGACATCCAGAAGGAACTGCAGGCCCTGGGGGAGAAATACCAGGATGCCATCACAGAGAAACAGCAGCTTCAGGAGGAGGCAGAGATCATGGAGAGGAGACTGATCGCTGCAGACAAACTTATTTCAGGCCTGAGCTCTGAGAACGAACGGTGACGATGTCACTCATGTGTATCATTGTCACTGTCACATAGTCCTGCTGTTGTTTAGTCTTTGCCTACGGTGCCTTTGCTTCCGTTTCTGTGTAGAAAATATACAATACATGCTGTTTAATTACAAATAATGATTTTATACTATTTCATTACGTGATGACTGCACATTGAGTTTGCATTGTACAAGAAATGCACTCTATAAATGAAATTGAATTGAATTGAATGATCAATGAAAGCCCCCCTGCGAGTCAAGAATATGGCTTGTTTACACTATTTAGTTGAATTGTAATAGATATGCTTGGCTTGAGGTTTAGTTAGATTTTTCAATTATTGGGCTCAGTGGATTTATATTAGTATGTGTACACTTAGAAGGATTGATGAACTGGAGGGCCACGGCTCCATGGATACAAGCTGGATACGTTGTCACCCACATTACGAGTTATCACGTTTTTACGTGATAAATTTTACGTTATTATGTGATAAGTTTTACGTAATTACGTAAAACTTATCACGTAATAATGTGAAACTTATTACGTAATTACGTTTTTTTTCTGTGGCAGCAATACGCTTCCGTAAGAAACAACAGGCAAAGGGCAGCATCCTTACAAATCATTTCACCACCGTACACCTATAGTGGCTCTTTTATTTCTCGTGCATGGTCTTTGCCCATTACTAACTGGTTTCTCGACTCAGGTGGACGCAAGATTTGGAGGAGTTGAAGCAGAAGCGCATGCGTCTCCTTGGCGACTGTCTGATCTCTGCTGCGTTCTTGAGCTATGAAGGAGCTTTCAGCTGGGAATTCAGGAAGGATATGGTCTACCAAGTATGGATCAAGGATGTGCAAGAGAAAGACATCCCCTTGAGTCAGCCGTTCAAAGTTGAAACCCTTCTGACAGATGAAGTAGAAATCAGCAGGTGAGGAGGATTGACAAAAGAGATTCTGCCTTGGTTTAATGGTTTATGGTGTAAAAATGTGAGAATAAAGTTACATACTGGTAAAAATTGTATAAATGTCTCTTTATTTTTTTTCTCACTGTAGATGGGGGTCAGAGGGTTTGCCTCCAGATGAGCTGTCCGTCCAGAATGGAATCCTCACCACCAGGGGGAGCCGGTTCCCTCTGTGTATTGATCCCCAGCAGCAAGCTCTCAACTGGATAAAGAAGAAAGAAGAAAACAACAACCTGAAGGTAAAAGATGTCATACATACAAATGATGTGTTACCATGACTCACAAGTCCCTGAAGTCCCTGCTGACAGGATTATCCTCTGCTTTCAGATTTCATCCTTCAATGATCCAGACTTCCTGAAGCAGCTGGAGATGGCCATCAAATACGGTTTTCCATTCCTATTCCAAGATGTGGAGGAGTACATTGACCCTGTGATCGACAATGTTCTGGAGAAAAACGTTAAAGGAGAAGAAGGTCGACAGGTCATCACGCTGGGTGACAGGGAGGTGGACTACGATCCTAACTTCAAACTGTATCTCAACACCAAGCTGGCCAATCCTCGATATTCTCCATCAGTGTTTGGAAAAACCATGGTCATCAACTATACCGGTGAGATCATTTAGCATTTACATTTAGTGTAAAAAAAAAGTCATTTTGATTTTTTTTAACGATTTGTTCCCTATAGTGACTCTAAAGGGTCTGGAGGACCAGCTGCTGAGTGTCATTATGGGCTTCGAGAAAAAAGAGCTGGAGGAACTGCGTGAGCGTTTGATCCAAGAGACTAGCAACAACAAGAAACTGCTGAAGAACCTCAGGGACTCGCTGCTCAGAGAACTGGCCACGTCTACAGGCAACATCCTGGACAACACAGAGCTGGTTCACACCCTGGAGGAAACCAAGTCCAAAGCCAGTGAGGTCAGTTTGGCGACAGCTGAAGTCATTGACCTGAGGAACAGCTGTTTCACTGACATCATCTGTTTCATCTTTTCCTTTTTTCCCGTGTTCTGACGCTGTGATAACCTAAGGTCTTTGAGAAGCTTCGCTTGGCCGAGGAGACAGCTACAGACATCGACAAACTCAGAGATGGTTATCGACCTGCGGCCATGCGTGGAGCCATTCTGTTCTTTGTTCTGACAGAAATGTCTCTGGTGAACAGCATGTACCAGTATTCTCTTGCCTCCTACCTGGAGGTCTTTGACTTTTCATTGCGCAAATCTCTGCCCGACACTGTTCTTTCGCAAAGACTCAAAAACATCATCAACACGCTGACATACAACGTTTATAACTATGGCTGCACAGGTGGAGATAAAGACAGAATGATCCAAATCATTAGATAAGATTTGTTGTTAATCCAACTTTTTATCCTCAGGTTTGTTTGAGAGACACAAGCTGCTCTTTTCTTTTAACATGACCATAAAGATTGAGCAGGCAGAAGGACGAGTGTATCAGGAAGAGCTAGACTTCTTCATTAAAGGTGAGATTTGACTCTAAAATCTGCTAAAAGAGACAAAGACACTTGTGAATTCATAAGCAGACAATGTTTGAGGCTCATGTTTTTCCACCTCGTGTGAAGGTAATCTATCCCTGGAAAAGAGCAAGCGCACAAAACCATGTGACTGGCTTCCAGATCAGGGCTGGGAAGACATAGTGAAACTGGCAGAGCACTTTCCTGAGAAGTGTGGCTTCCTGCTTGATGACATGGAGAAAAATTCAACTGACTGGAAAGCTGTGAGTGATCCCAGCCATTAACCTCTCTCTCCATTTGTGTTTATTTGATCTGTTCTAATCTGACTCTTGTCATCTCAGTGGTATGACCTAGATAATCCAGAACAGGCGCCAGTCCCTATGAAATATGAGGAGAACTTGTCCACTTTTCAGAAGCTTCTGTTGCTGCGCTGCTTTCGTGTTGATAGAGTCTATCGAGCTGTGACTGATTATGTCACTGTCACTATGGGAGAGAAGTAAAACTCTAATAGTCTTGGTCCTACACCGAATCTGACAGAGAATAGAACTTTCTGGTACAATGCCTTGTGTAAGTTTGACTTGTTTTTCTGCTCAGATATGTTCAGCCCCCTGTGATCAGCTTTGATACAATTTATGAACAGAGCACACCTTCCTCCCCCATCATCTTCATCCTAAGCCCTGGCTCTGACCCAGCCAGTGACCTCATGAAACTGGCTGAGAGGTCAGGCTTTGGGGGCAGCAAGTTCAAGTTCTTGGCTATGGGTCAAGGCCAAGAGAAGGCAAGGAGAAGCTGTTCAGCAACATCTATAGATAATAATGACAAAATACTAACCTGTCTTCTGCCTCTGTAATAAAGGTGGCGCTGCAGCTGCTGGAAAGTGCAGTTGCTCGTGGACAATGGCTAATGCTACAGAACTGCCACTTGCTAGTTAAATGGCTGAAGGACCTGGAGAAATCGCTAGAGAGAATCACCAAGCCCAATCCCAACTTCCGCTTGTGGATCACCACCAATCCAATCAAAGACTTCCCCATTGGCATCCTGCAAAAATCACTTAAGGTTGCATTTTTGTATATATACTGTGTTTTTCAGAAGTTTCTGAGAAATGTCTTTGTTTTTTACATGTGATATATTATTGGCTGCAGGTGGTGACGGAGCCCCCCAATGGACTTAAGCTGAACATGCGGGCGACGTACTCCAAAATCTCCCAAGAGACTTTGAGCAAATGTCCTCACCCTGCCTTCTGTAGTGTGGTGTATGTGCTGGCCTTCTTCCACGCTGTGGTGCAAGAGAGACGAAAGTACGGCAAGATTGGCTGGAATGTTCCGTATGACTTCAATGAGTCGGATTTCTTTGTAAGTAGCATGGAAACATTAAAAATAAAAAAAATAGTTTGAGGTTTTTTTTAAATCTCATTAAACTTCTTTGATTTATTTTTTTTCTGTGTATTTCAGGTTTGTCTTGAGATCCTCAACACTTACCTGACCAAATCTCACACACAGGGAGACAGTGATATTCCCTGGGGGAGTCTGAAATATCTTATTGGGGAGGTGTGGCTAAATGTATGGTGCTTAAGTAAACCTTAATAGTTGGGTGCTGTTGTGACTGTACATGTATAATTTATTCAAGGTGATATACGGAGGACGAGTGATCGACAGCTTTGACCGCAGGGTCCTGGGCGTCTACATGGACGAGTACTTTGGAGATTTTCTTTTTTACAATTTCAGACAGTTTCACTTCTTCAACAACAAAGATGTCAACTACAGTATTCCTCCAAATGGGCCCAAGGAAGTTTATGTTGGTCTGTTGTGATTTTTTTTAACATAATTTTAAATTTAGTTTATTCAAATTTGATATATTATTAAATCCCTTAAAATTTTTCTCTTTTAGATGAGATTGACAACCTGCCCCTGGCAAATACACCTGAGGTGTATGGTCTTCATTCTAATGCAGAAATAGGTTACTACACACAGGCAGCTAAAGACATGTGGAGTCACCTGATAGAGCTGCAGCCTCAGACAGGTAGGTCAGACATGTAACCTTATTTATTTCACTTTATTTCATCTTCTTTAATGCTCCTTAAAAGTCTGCAGGTCATATTCCACATTCTCAGTGACCTCCAGCTCCATCCTTGCCACTAGTATTTATTGTACTTGAGATGACTGCTTCTTCGTCTCCTGTCTTTTTTAAACACTGTCCTTTGCTTCAGGTGAATCTGGTGGAAGCATCAGCAGGGATCACTACATCAGCCAGGTGGCTCAGGACATTCAGAACAAGCTGCCAAAGTTATTTGACATGGATGTGATCCGTAAAAGGTTTGGCTCAGACATTTCCCCCACATCAGTGGTGCTGCTTCAGGAACTGGAACGCTTCAACAAGCTGGTGGTCAGAATGCGGCACTCTCTGGCTGAGCTGCAGAGGGTGAGATGGAAGCGCGGCACAGCAGCGGCGAAATAATTTGTCTCTGTTCCTTAGACTTGATTTGATCTGATCTCACTCTCATGTGCAGGCTCTGGCTGGAGATGTGGGCATGAGCAGTGAGTTGGATGAGGTTTCCCGTGCCCTCTATAACGGTCACATACCTGCCATCTGGAAGAAGTTGGCACCTGATACCCTCAAGTCACTGGGCAACTGGATGAGTCATTTCAAGAGACGATATGAACAGTATAGCTTCTGGGTGAGAAAATAAACCATCACATCTGATCACCTACAGATATTTTTTATGGATGTCCGACATCATCAACCAATATTAGAATAACTATCTGTAAGAATTGTTTTCAGGTTTTTCTTCCTATAATGAAATACAATGCACCTGTCTCACCCTATTCTGTCCCCTTACAACATCCACAAATATCTGAGGTCTTCCACAATTCTGTACCTAAAGTTTGTTAATTCAATTTAAATGTATTTAATAGATAAAATGTTAGGACTATTGCAACTTCGAACCGAAACAAGAATTTCGCAATAACTGAGGCAAGGGCTGGGTGTGTGTGTGTGTTGATAGTTTCTACAACACTAGCAAGAAGGACAACACAAAACATAACTCTGCACAAGAGCTTCAAATAGCTTTTGAAGCTCTTGTGCAATAGCTTTTGACTTTTCTGGCTACAGTTTCTGCTATTTCCTATTAAAAAAGAAAGACTGTTGATCTGCCCAAGTATCCCATATAAGACTAGGCAAGACTGCAAGAATTTGTATTTTTAGTTAACAACTCATCAAATGGAGCAGTTAAAACACAGAGCAATTTTCCCTGTGTGAACATTTACCTTTTAAATTAGCATATTTAAACTAACAAAATGAACTTTTTTGTGTTGAAACTTAGATCTCAATTTTCTTCAACCAAATTACTGATTTTATTTTTTATTGTTTTCATAAAGTCAGCCACAATATCAGTTCAGCTCTATGTGAGTTTCAATTTATACATATTCTTTGACATTGCTTTCTCAAAAATGTTATTGGTAAGTATCTTGTATGTATTCTTCTGTATTCTTTAAAAAGGGATTTTAACTCTCTTTATGAATACCAGAATTCTGTATATTCTCAGTAACAATCTGTTCAATCAGGTGGATGAAGGAGAGCCAAAGGTAATGTGGCTTTCAGGACTTCATATCCCAGAATCATATCTGACTGCCCTGGTCCAAGCTGCATGCAGGAAAAATGGCTGGCCTCTGGATCTTTCCACACTGTACACACAGGTGACCCAGTACCAGAGTGAGGAGGAAGTTACTGACAGACCTGGACTAGGTAATGACATTTATAAATGCATTTTCAGCATCATGGGCGACCACTAACTTAAATGATTTAATCAGCCAGTGATTAAATGGCTTGTGTTCCTTTGGTGATTTGGTGATCACCTCTCCTTCTCCCTGCAGGCTGTAATGTGTCCGGCCTGTACTTGGAGGGAGCAGACTGGGACATGGAGAACAGCTGCTTGGTGAAGAGTAAACCAAAAAGTCTGGTCACTGAGATGCCTGTTCTCAAAGTCATACCCACCGAGGCACGTCACCTGACACTACAGGTGAGGACCACACCACACTTACATACATGTCTTTTGAATTTTTTTCCTTTATCAATAGTGTGAACTTTTTTGTTACTTATGCCACAGAACACACTGCGTACACCAGTGTACACCACCTCTTTACGGAGAAATGCCATGGGTGTGGGGCTGGTGTTTGAGGCAGATCTGTTCACCACTATGCACATCTCACACTGGGTTCTCCAGGGAGTCTGTTTACTGCTCAATGCTGACTGAACACAACACTCTGTCTGTGACTTTAATACAGTCTTAGATGCAACGAATGTTTATTCCTGGAATTAATTACAGGCGAAATTGGTAAGTTTTTTGTTGTAAGACAGCCTACATGTGCAAGTTGCAAGGCAATGCAACAATAACTGTTGAGAACATTAAACTGGAGGTTTGCCCAAACTTCAACTTTGCTTGCCCACCTGCATTATAACGAGGGGTGGCAATCAGTGAGTGACATAGGGCTATTCCTTAGCTCAGCTTATCCAGTGGCTGCAGGTGAAAGTAATTGTGCTAGAAGTTTGTTTTCCAAATGATCTTTTACAACAGCCAGCCTGCATTTTAGTGTTCTTGCAGACCTCTAAAAATGTTTTTTAACAGTTACATACTGTCTGGGTTTTGTGTGTATTTTTTATATATATTGAGACTTTAATTAAAAAAAGTTAATTTTCAAAATTATACCAAAAAATGTTGGAAGAAGTCCTTGTCTGTGTTTCCAAATCCTACATTTGAGGATGTGAATGAATTAAAAAGTTGCAAAGCAAACAGAAAAATCATCATATTCAAGTTGTTTATGTATAATTTTTTACTTTAAATTGACAGAAAAACAAACCGAATTGTGTTGAATTTCTTTTTTTTATATTTGTAAAAAAATTATTTTCTGTATCGCTAGTGTTGGTATCTATTATTAGTTATTGGACACTAGATGGCAGCATACAGCAGCACAGGGACAGACTACCGTGGACAGACTTCACAGACAGTTGTTGTCTGTGGTGTGACCGTGGGACATGGTCCGGTAAACTTTGAGTCTATCATTATTTTGCAGTTCTAACAGATATATGGATAAACGTTCTAAGACGAAATATATTAAAGTCAGTGTTTCTGTTGTCTGGTGTCATATAGTCATTTTGTGTGCAGAAGACAGAACAATGAGCTGCTGCACGGGGTGAAAAAGGCAACTTCAAACCAAAGGTTGCTAAAGTTTTCCAAGTAGCTTTTCAGCTTTTCCCTGCGCAATCGTTCCACGAGCAGTGTAATATTAACATTTAACAAACAGATCTGGTGCAGCACTGACACTGACTAAGGGAGGCTGCTGAGGTCAGCGTGTTAACAGAAACTCCTAAGAGTAGGGCAGTAAATAGGACAAGCATGTGACTTATGAGACTGCAGAGACTAACAGGGTGAAATTATCATCCGGGAAAACAACCAGGAACATGAATAGGTTTTGAATTCACACTTCTAAACATGAATCTGAGGACAGGGTCATGCTTCCCTTTCCTTTTAATGGTCGAGGGTAAAGGCCCTTGCGCAGCTGTAACTGGTCTGGACCATCATAAAGAGGGAAAATTTATGAGCAAAACACAGTAGGGGGTGAGAGTGTTGTTTAAATAACCCGCACTTTACTTTAAATTTATACGATTGTCACAAAACTGGACAAAAAGAGGACAAAACAGTGATTTCTGCCTGCAGAGCAGAAGAGGAGAGGAATTATAGAAGCAGGGAAGGAAAACCGCTCAATAGGAGAAAAAGGAGATATGAAAAGATCCTCTGAGTGGAACCAGTCCCTTTCTCCCCTCAGAGGTCAAATTATTTTCAGCTGCTTGTGGGATTTACAATAACCCTCCACTGCTCCAGTTCCTGCACTGCACCGGTGCCTGCTCGGAGCTGTCTCGTAAAATGCCAACGGTACCCTGAAACCAAAACTCTGGCACATCATTTTCCGGCCCCCACTGATCCTGAGTTTCCGTTTGTTGTGATTAAGAGCAGGTGGGTTCACTCACTCAGTCAGTTCTGTTCAACAGCAGTTGGTGTGTATGCTGTTTGTAACCTGTGAGTAGTGTAGGACAAGCACTTAGTGCCAGTCCCAATGCTGCTGTGAAGGCGTCAAAGTGTTCACACCATCTTTCGTCAGCTGACAGCTTCAGCCACACCACCTTCCACCAGACATGTTGCATTAAAACTCTTTGCAGTCTGCAGCTGGTGAGAGTGTGGCGGTGCAATCAGACTCAGACGCAGACAGATATACATGTGGTGCCTGATTTTAGGTTCCTGTGCCAGGTGTTTTGTTTGGACCAGAACCACAGCTGCTCTGTGGTGGAAGGATAACACTCTAAGAACGACATGTCCTACATTCAAGAGCTTTTTGACAAATGAAGGATAGATGTTCAGAAAGGTAGAGGAAGTTCAAGGCCAAATTATTCTGCTTAATCTTTGCATGATCACAGTGGGCGCTACAGTAGAGCCAGTCCCAACAGTCAACAGGTGGGGGCAGGGTACACTCTGAGCAGTAATAATTAATAATTAATATAGAGATAAACAAGTGATCATGTTCACATTTATACCAATGGTCAGGGTAGGACAGAGATTCCCAATCACTGAGATCATCAGGTGTATCATGGGAAATAATCCAATTTGACTTAATTGGTCTGAAAACTAATTATTCGGTGAAAATGCATGGATCATTTCTGTATGTCCACAAATGTGTGTCTCTGTTTCATGTGTCAAATTGAAATGCTTCCAGTCTGTGGTGTCTTACAGCAAGCTGTGAGTTAGCAGATTTCACTTTGGTTTTCCTTTGAGTTTCCTCTTCAGCAGACTTGAACTCATTTGGGTATAATCTCAATCCGTGCAGGCCTGAAATTAAGTTTTCACTGTTTTGATTTATTTGTTATCATTTTCATATGCTAATTGTTGCCATCTAGGTCTAAATATGTTACTTACTATAATTAAACTGTTTTTCTTATATATCTTTATAATTTTACTTGTTGTCTGTGAACATGAACAAGTTTAAATTTCTACTATTTTTTTATACTACTTTATTTTGTGCTAGGTTTTTGCTATTTCTGTTGTTGTCTTACTTATGATGCCTGAGCTTCATGATGCATGAACATTTTAATGCTAGCTTGTTGATGTCTTTTTACATCGGGGTGTAAAAAATAGGGCTTATGGGCCAAAACCGGCCCGCTACGGTGTTCAGTCCGGCTTGCATGATAATTTTTGAACGTAAGAAAAATACACAAACACTTCATGTTCAGGATTTTTGTAAAATTATATTTCATTAAATATAAATAATTAACAATAAATATGTAGTTCTTCGTACTTCAAAGGGGAAAAACATGGACTTATTCTTATTCTCATTGAACCAAAATGAGTTTGACACCCCTGATTTATATAGTCTGACATGATTTGAATAATCTGTCCAACCTAATGTTAATGAGTGCCATATTTACATGTGTTCTTTAACAAACATCTCTGCTCTCCGGCACAGAGCCAGTCATTTCATAAGAACTTCTGTGCTGCAGCAGCCCTTTATTACTAACTCATCCAGGACTGTACGTGTATGCAATGTACCGTTGCCTTTTAGCATCTATTGTCCTGTGTGAGGAGTTTTGAAGGGGGCAGGCTGAACAGCCCATCAGCAGGCTGTGCTGTTTAAGAGCAGAACAGAGTATAAAAGTGCTGTCATGCCCGCTGCTGCTGCGAGCCTATGCTCTGTGCACTCCCTCAGACTGAAGTGAGCCCAGCTCACATATAGACAGAAGAACAGCACACTCTACTATTGACACCGTGTTCAAGGTCCGGCTCCAGACTGTGAAGCCGTGTCACCCTCAGAGACAAACAAGGACTAGCAGTACTCTTCAGCTGACTTAGGGTTTCTTTTACGCACGGAGTGCCAGAAAGTTCCAGAGACGTTTGCAGTTCTCTTCAGTAAATAGGATGCGTGTCTTCTTCTTGTACTGAAAACCAGCTGCTGTTTGACACATTTCCCCCTCCCGTGAGCTGGAGCAGGAGCTTCCACCGGAAACTTGGACTAATTTGTAAGTTTTTTGGCCCTACTGTTGATGCCACGGAAATGGAACCGGGCCACCGGGAGAGCGTGTCCGCACTGTGCAGGAAAAGTTTGCTTTGGACCGCGCTGGTCCTCTGGCTCAGTGCGCTGGTGGACGGGACCTGGAAGACGGGACTGTATAAGCCTCACTACTCAGCCGGGACTGCAGCCTCTCACTCCTCTGTCTACCAAAAAAGGTAAGAACAGTATCACAAAATACACACCTCAAACGTTTAAAACATTTACATAAAGAAAGAAAAATAAATTAACCCAACAACCAAGTGTTTGTTTATGTCTGACTCTTGTTAAGTTCACTATAAATGTTGACATTTATAAACACATGAACGAAATAGTCACATGACATGAAAAGTTAATCTGTAGTTCACAACTTCTTTTGTGTAAATGAGTTGAAAACGTGTTTTTCTTCTTAAAGATTTGCATATTCTTGGTGACACTTTAGTAAGTATTTCTAAGTTTGTTGACAAAACAAACCCTTCGAGACTGTCGTCAGACTAATATTTTGCAGTATTTTCTGCCTTTAATGTATTCAATGACTGATCTGAGACATACATTTTTCAAAACCTTCAGCTCTCTACTAGATGTAAAGCAGCCCATTTCTTATTTCTCTTAATTAATAATATCAAGATCCTATTCAGCTCAAATTATCATCAGCTGTTCCTTTCCATTGTAATAAATTTAAATAACCATAATTCTTTTCAGAAAAAAAAACCCATTTGGCTCCCTAATCCTGAAATTCAATAAAACCCTTCTTTTTGCTAATACATAATACTTTCCTACTGTTTTTCTTTCTTTTTCCATATAGACGGTGCAGATCAGAGGGCCAGCAACCTAACATTAGATCAGGGAGGAAGTGTTACACTCAAAATTATACACACGCCATAATATTTTTATTTCCTCCAAGAGTCTGCCAAAGTGGTGTCACTTCTTTTGAATGGCATACCATCTCTTCAGAGCTACTCCCATCTCCATCCATCTACCTGGTCTTATTGTCTTCCTGACAGTTGGTTTCCTTTTTCCTGTGCTGGCAGCACACTCAGCTCTGCTGACTCTCATTGTTGTCACCACTTCCACACTTTTCTGTGTAAAGCTCCTGAGAGCACTGCTACTCTTGCTCAGGTCTCTGCAGCTGCAGCAGCATGTGATCCTGCATCAGTCTTTATGATTCCTGGTTCCTGGGAACTCACTGCTGTGTGGATTCACTTTTAGTCACTGTTTTATCACTGGGCCTGCTTCGAAACGCAGCCTAGCCATTTAAATGAGATTATACTCAAACTTTCAACACGCTCAAAGTATTGTTACTAAATCTATGCAACATGACCTTAATTAATATGAGAGGCTGCATCACAGTGTGTCAGTACGTACCTCTTATTCATACAGATCTGCCCCTACAACACTGTAGCCTAGGTGAGCCTGGAGGAACTCTGGAAGAATCCGATTATTATGTATTTACCTTAAATGTGACTAAATTTTGATTGCTGTTCAGACAGGGTCTGCTCAGTAGTGAGCTCCCAGAAAACAGCTTCATATTGAAAGGAACCTCAATGCTACACAGCACAGGCTATTTTGACCATGTTAAAAGCATAAAAGTAAAATTTAACAAACATTTCTTTTGGACTCTATAGTGTCAAATGTGTAACCTGCCCTTGCTTGTTGACTGCTACAGCTTCTCTGCCATCCTGAACAGATGTTTGGTTTGTAACAGGAGAGACATCGTCTCCTAAGAACCAGGACATGTAGGACCATCGTTCTGTGTTTCAGAATGAATGAAACAGTGAGTCTGTGAGTCATGGACAGTGTCTTTGACAGTCACAGATGTGCAATCATTAGAGTAAACACAGGTGAACCTCCAGCACCAGCTCCTCTTTGGGGCAGTTTAGAAGTAAGGCTGAAGTCAAGGCACAGTGATGAGAGGACGTTTATCATCCTACAAATATTTATGCTGTCTGAGAGTGTGTGTATGTGTGTGGGCTGATTCCGGCCTGAGACCTCAAACCACTTCTCCGCTGATGCAGTCCTTTTGTTCTGGGTGTGTTCAGGTGGCCCTCAACCTCGCATTACTGGCTCGTGTCACCTTCGCCTCTCGGCTCCTCTGTTTCTTAGGCCCAGTGGTTTTCTACCAACATGTTTATTAAACAAGAGCAGCTGGACCCCACTGCATCTGGACTTGTTTCTGCAAGGCTAAATGTGTTTACTGTCAGTTTATGCTGCTGCTGTTTGTAAGTAGCACAGTAGAGAAGACAGGAAAGATGGAGGGTGGAGCTGCTGGTGGTATGAGTCAGACGCACAGAGGTCAGTGAGTTTGAGGTGTCTTTAGAAGAGCTGAGTCCACTAGTCCTGGTCCACCTGCTGTGTGGCCTGATCTGTGAAAGCAGCCATTTATGGTGCGTGCGTGTCTGTGTGTCTGTCAACGAAGCCAGTGGTTGTTGGAGGCTCCTCTCGTAGACGAACTCTGGCTTAACTTTTCATTTGTGGTCTTGTCACTCAAAAGAGAAATAAATATTAATTTTAGCAGACCAGGCATTTAGGATTTCATTTAGGATTACTCAAATGGAAGTGGAATTAACCGCTGATAAATTCTTGGATGTTAATTACTATATGAACTCAGTAGGGGTTTCTCAAGCACATGTTTTTCTTACTTCTTCTCTCACCCACAGCTTTATCCTCCCCTGTCATGGTCTGACAGGCAGTGTGAGCCCTGTGGCTGCCCTCATTCCTCATCCATCTTAACCAAATCCATGTTTTCTTTAAGGACGGGGGAGAAGAGATAGTCAGTCTCTGTATAAACCATATACAGTATTTCTCTTCTCCTCAATTAAAATAATGGTTCCCAAAGTTGTGAGTTATTCTCTCCAGGAGAGGGCAGCAATGCAGATTCATTTTAATTTCAATATTTTCTTTATTTGTGCCACAGTGAGGAAATGATTTATGTTTGTGTTTTAAATAAAGGTCAGTGGTGGTTAGAAGAAATCGCTATACATTTGGCAACGTGGAGGCATGACAATAATGCTAAGGGGTGAGGTGGGGGTGAGTTAGACTAATACTCTGCTTATCAAGAATTTAGCTGAAAATTGAGCTAAAATCCAGTCAACTGTTTTTAGCGCCCACTCACATTCTACACTCGATCAGTCGATGATGATCACACCTTCCAACATTTACTGCCTCCACACACAGTGAGACACTCAAAGCTTGCAGGTGTCCCGGCCTGGAAAGCTCCAAAAAAGACGAAGACAAATGAGAGTTTGACTGGTTATTCTGAGGCTACTGTGAAGAGTCACTTATCTCTGACCTTCGGGCCTTACTGTGAGGTGCTTTCATCAGCATCACTGTGATGCTCCTTACTGTGTAACAGTTTTGCCAATAGCACAGATCTTTTCTTATTTATTTGCTCTTCATATGCAGGTTTAATATGACATTTTACTTTTTTTCCCCATTTTTGTCTGCAGTTTATTTTACTCTGGTTTATTTTCGGCTGCTCTGATCTTTTTCCCCCTCTTTTTCTATAAACAGCAGACTATGACCAGGCTCTTTCAGTTTATTAATGTCACTGAGACTCTCTTTCTTTGTCTTTTTTGTGTTGCAGCACATTTATCTTATGCCTCTTCTGCAGCCGTGAGACCAATACTGTATGCACATTATTGTCTCTCTTTCCTTTTCCAAGTTCCAATGGGAAGCTGCCTGATGTGACCTTTATGAAAAATGACATTTGTCCACTTCCATGAACTACTCTCCTCTCTTCTTCTTCTCTTCTCTCTTTCGTCCTTTAGTCATCCCTGCTTTTCTTCCTCTTTTATCTTCACCTCTTATCTCCGTTCCTCTCCTTTTATATCACCACTCTTGTCCTCTC